AATTGCCACACTGTCTTTCAAAGAGGTTTCACAAGTTTGCATTCCCACCAGCAGTGTAGAAGCCATTCCTTTTTCTCCACATCTTTGCCAGCATGTGCTGTTGTTTGTATTATTAATGGTGGTGATTTTTACTGGGGTTAGGTGGTATCTCAATGTGGTTTTGATTTGCATTTTTCTGATGGTTAGTCAGGATGAGCAATTTTTCATGTGTCTGTTGGCTGTCCATATATCTTCTTTTAAGAAGTGCCTATGCATGTCTTTTGACCACTTTTTAATGAGGCTGTTTGTTCTTTTCCTTTTGGTGCATTTGAGTTCATTGTAGATACCAGATGTTAGGTCTTAGTCAGAAATACAGTTGGCAAATATATTTTCCCATTTTGTGGACTGTCTCCCACTGGACCAAATGGACTTAATAGATACCTGCAGATTATTCCACCCAGCAATCACAGAATATACATTCTACTCATCACCACATGTAATGTACTCCAAGATCGGTCACATCCTTGGTCATAAATCAAGCATAAAAAAATTCCATAAGGTTGAAATATTGCCATGTACTTTTTCAGACCACAGTGGAATAAAAACAAATATCAACACTAACAAAATCTCCACAAAGCCCACAAAGTCATGGACACTAAACAACATGATGCTGAAAAACTAATAGGTCAACACTGAAATCAAAGCAGAAATTAAAAGGCTCCTGGAAACAAATGAAGAAACATCTTTCCAAAACCTCTGGGATGCCATGAAAGCAGTTTTTGGGGAAATTTATATCTCTATGAGCACACGTCAAAAAAATGAAAAGATCACATGTTGAGAGCCTAAAAAAATCACCTGAGAGAGCTAGAAAAAGAAGACAACCAAAACCCTAACTTTAGCAGAAGAATCCAAATCACCAAAATAAGAGCCCAAGTGCAGGACATAGAAGACAAAAATATCATAGAAAACATCAACAAAACAAAAAGTTAGTTCTTTTAAAGAATTAACAAGATTGATGGACCCCTAGCAAGAATGACCAAGAAAAAAAGAGAAAAAGCACAAATAAACATACTCAGAAATACAAAATATCAAATCACAACTGACCCCAAAGAATCACAAAAGATTATCAGAGATTACTATGTACACCTATATGGAAACAAACTTGATAACCTCAATGAGACAGAGGACTTTCTGACAACACACAACCTCCCTGGGTTGAAAAAGAAGACATTGAGACATTAAACAAACCAATAACAACCCAGGAAATTGACTCTGTCATAAAAAAACTACCTACAAAAAAAAAAAAGCCCTGGACTGATGCCTTTCCAGCAGAATTCTTTTGCCCACTTTGTAATGGGGCTGTTTGTTTTTTTTCTTTTTGGCATGTTTGAATTCCTTGTAGATCCTAGATTTTAAGCCTTTGTCAGATATACAGTTGGCAAATATTTTTTCCCAGTCTGTGGGCTGTCTCCCTGCTCTCTTAGAAGTTTGTCAGTTTGATTTGGTCCCATTTGTCTTTCTTGTCTCTTAAGGCATGGGCATTTGGGGTTTTGATCAGGAATGGGCTCCCAGTTTCAATTTCCATACGGGTGTCTCCTGCATTTTCTAAGGTTCTCATAGTTACCTTTAAAAGAGCTCTTTGCATCACAACTTTTTTCCTTAGACCTTCAGAACGTTCTCCTCCAAAGGATTATAATGGCTTAGTATATCTTTTTTTTTAAATAAAGAAGCAGCACATAGTAGTGTTAATACTACCAAATTAGAAGAAGGAGAGTGAGTTGAAACAGACAGGCCTGGAAAAGCAGGAGAGAGGCAGGAGAGCCACCCCAAGGACCATGGGGCTTGGAACTCAAGGATGGGCTGGAGAAGAAAGAGGAAACTGGGCTTCAGTGAACAGGACACTCCAGAGCAGAGCAGCAAGACAGGGAAAAGGTGAGCAGACGGGTAAGACCAGGACTGCATTTTGATTACTGTAGACTGTTCACCTCTGTTTCTTGGACAGGTTATATTTGCACCAAACTCATTCATCTGGGGTCCCAAATGCATACAGGTTACAATTTTCTTAGTCTCTTTGTGAAAGTTACTATTTAAACATCCATCCAATGAATGTTTTTGTATTTGTAATTGAAATACAGATACTAAAAGGATGCTGAAGTGAACAGCTTATTGAATTTTCAGACTGAAAATACCATTCTAACCAGAAAATCCAGAAATAAAATATTATCTGCACCTAGGAAGCACCACGTGTGCTCTCCTTTGGTCACTACTAGTCTGCAGGGATAAGTACAACCTTGCTTCTAACAAAAGAGATTCATTTTGCCTTTGTTTTCTGTGTCTATCAATAGAGTCACATGGAAGATTTTCACTTGTGTCCAGTTCTCTTGGTTCAACACTCTGTGATATTCATCCATAAATGAAGCTAGAAGTTATAGATCATTTGTCTTTACAGGTACACAGAATTCCTTTGGATGAATAAGCTAGAATGTATCTGTTCTTCTGTTGATGAGCATTTGGGTAGTTTCCATTTTGGAGTTACTATGAACAGTGCTGCTATGATGCACCCAGTTAGCTGCTAATATGAAAACTAGCATTTGAGTTCAGGATAGGTCAAAATTTTTATTTGAATTTTTTTTTTATTTTAAATATGTGGAGTACAATTCAGGGTTAAGTATACAAATGTTCATTATACAGGTACCCTTGTTGATGAGGTGTGCCACTCCTTCCTCTGGCAGTTTCCCACTGCTGCCAATCCTGCCCCCACACTCCCCTGCCAATTCCACACTACTGCCAATTCCTTTCTTATGCTATGAAAGTTGTTCGAGGTCTACTTATGAGTGAGAACATGTGATACTCAGTTCTTTGTTTCTGTGATAATCAGGTATATTCTATTATGAAAGGGAGTCATGCCCAACTTTTGTAATGAGAGAGTGAGGAGCATGGGCAGAGTTTACCCCAACAAGACAACAGTTCAACTAAATAAAATTATTTTAAAAAGCAATTTAAAGTTTCTGAAAGCTGTCCTAAAGGAATACAGCCATACTTTAGTGAGGAAATGACAACAGATAGGAACTATATTCCTCAGAAAGAAGAGAACTAAAACAGTAAATAAGATTAATATACACATTTTACAAACTCTGTATTTGTGCCCTTCTCTCTTGTCATAGACACTTTAAAATACCTAAGATTCTATAAAGTTATAATTAACACAATGTACTGTTGGATTTGTAACATACATAAGATTAACTTGTACAATGATAATAAAACAAGAGGAGAAAAAATGATTGGAGCTTATGGGAGTAAAGTTTCTATATCACACTGGAATCAACTTAATGTAAATCTAAAGGTAATTTTGAGAAATTAAAATGTACATTGTAAGCCCTAGACAAAAAACATTAAGAAAATAACTTTTAAAATGTTTAAATTGTTAAAAGAATTAAATGGTTACACTAGAAAATATCCTATGTATTTTTTTAAAAGACAATAAAGAAGGCAGGAAAAAAACCAAAAGGAAATGAAACACAAAACAAAAAGCAAAATAACATGTTGGAGGAAAGGAGAGGAGCCAAGATGGCCTCTGTGGAGCAGTAGACCAGTGCCACTCTCACCTAGAGAGAGTAGGGGTTCTGCTGTTGTTAGAGAAGGTTACTCAGAGCACTTTTAGATGAGTAAATATCATGAACCCAGCAAAGGTCTGAGTGCACAGACTCCAGAAAGTCATGGCAAGTATGGAATTCCAGGCACCCCACCCTGACCTGGACCAGGCATGCACAGAAAACAAAGATCTGTTCAGAAAAGGAGAGTGGTAAGTGATTATAAGACACTTTAAATCAGATCACCCTCTCAAAACAGTGCATGAAATAACAGTTTCACACAGGAGGAAACTTGGTCAGGATACAGTAGTAAGTGCCAGGGCCCAGATGGAACAAGGAGCAGTTCCTGCACAGAGAAGGCCCACCTACAGAATGAATCTGACTGACACCCTCACTGCTCACACCTGGTGGAACAACAGACCAGTGCTTCTCTTGCAGGGCAGACAATGGAGATTCAGCTACTGATAGAAGGAGGCATCCTAAACACATTTGGAAGGGTGAAACTCCTCACACCCAGTGGTGGTCTCCTTGAACACAAAGAGACCAAAAGAGCAGGTACAGAAATTCAGGTGCCCCATTCCCCCACTATGAGCTAGGCGTGTATAGGAGCTGAGTACGAACTGGGTGAGGGAGGGAGATGAGCAATTCTCACACACACACACACACACACACACACACACACACACACACACACACACACACACACCAGCTATCAACACACCTAGTGAGAGATGGAGAAACGAGTCCAACTAGTTTAGAAACTGAGAGAAAATCTGCAGTAACTAGAACCTGCCACAGAATGGAGCTGTACTTCTCTCACTAAATAAAGATAGATCTGAGACAAATGAGGAAGGGAAGAGCAAGCAATTCTCAGAGTTTTAAAGAGACAGCACACGAAAAAGAAGCCACCAGAGCACATACAAAAATGCATATACTTTTTAAGATTGCCTATTTGTGACATTGTTAATTATTTGATATTAAAACAAAAGTAAACATGGCCATATAAAATAATGCAAGTATCACCTGCGGCATTTAATAAAGATCAAGAGAAAATATTGCCTAAATTTTTTTAGCATTTTCCAGAATCTATTACAAAGCACTTTGTTTTCTCTAGAGTTCTCTACAGCACATTTTTTGTAAAAACAAAAACAACAACAAAAAACAAAACAAAACAAAAAACGCACACACGTGTGCACACACACACACACACACACACACACACACAATGGAATAGTTCATTTGACTCCAGTGTGAACTGCAAAATTCAAAACCCTAAAAAGAAAACTTAAAGAAATAAAACATAAATTGCATTCTAAAGGTTTTCTGTTATTTTTTTCTTTTCTCTTTCCCAACTCACTAAAAAAAAGCTACTAACTTATCTAAAATTACTATTATATTATTTAGAAACTCCAGGAACACATAAATTATATTTCTAAAAGTACTGAGTTTATTTTAAAGCATCGTATCAATAAACAAAGTCATCTCTTCATTGTATGTTGATTTTGGCAAAGAGTACAGACTTGCATGCAATAGACACCATAAAGTGGCTTAAAGTAAAAATTGATTGTTTTTAGCAATCAAGTAGTATGCAATTACATATCTTCTGTGTAAGTGATTTGGGCCATGTTTCTTGTCTTTCTAGATGTCTTTAGAAAGTTTATTTTAAGAGTTGTCCCCTTTATCTGATACTTGTGCTTTTTGCTGAAATAGATGCATAGAAAAGATTCTCTCTCTGTTTAGATTAATACACTCACATGATATATTCCTAAACAAAAATAAAAGGTCAGATATCTGAGAGCTAGTGACATTCATGATCACAAGTTCTTTTAAAGAGGGAGAAACACTAAAATTTATTTTAGCAAAATCCCAAGGAAAATCAATCTTGGACAATGACTGTCAACTTATTTTACAATATTTCATTAAAAGTCTGAGATCTTTGAAAGAGGATGCCATTTAAAACTAATTTGCCATCCCGTTTCTGTAATATACACATTCTTATTTCACTGAGGCAAACAAGTTAGAAACATGATTCTATCAAAGCTGTGTAGTTAAACAAGGAACTTGTCAACTGTATGTATCTACTGCTTTTTCTTTGTGGAAAGTCATCTATTCTAATCACTGAAATATGCAATGAAAGGCTACATTTAGAAGCACGGAAAATTTATGGTTCAGTACACAGAAGCTTCATCTACAAAAGAATGGGAAAGTTATAATTACCACAGAAAAGTACAATGTTTATAATCACAAAAACATCACATCAAAAAGGTACATATTCTTTTTCACTAAAATTAATTAGGCAATTTGAGAATAAGAGACACATTTTTTTCTCTCTCTCTCTCTTACTCACTCTTGCTCTCGCTCTTTGTCTCTCTCCTTTTAAAATTGTTAAATGTTGTAGCGCAGATATATTTAGACTGTGGTAATAATAACAAAAGATGTTTTCTTTGTAAAATTACTGAAGTACATAAAATGCCTTGGCAGATAACATACTATCCTAAGATATCTACTTAAAATTTTATGTTCATCTCCCATTCTCCTCACCATAAAGCTTATATTTAATTATGTATTCACTTGTATTATTTGCATGCAAAAACACCACTACTCTATTATGTCAACATTAAGCCTATTTCTTTTGAAGCCAAGATAATTTTGCTATTTTATAAAAGCAATAGAGACTCAGGATGCTTAAGGAAGAATTCTTAAGGATTATGCTTGCTGCTTTGCTTGGGCTTCTGCTTCCTGAAATGAAAAACAAACAAACAAAAAAAGATAAGTGCAAATATCACAGAGCAGACAGGCATGTACATTTCTGTTAGACTACATTAGCTCAAATTATGAAGAATATCCAACAGCCTACAGAAAAAAAAGTTGCTTTACAAATTATTTAAAGACTATAGAATAAAGACTGCTTTCTAGAATCATTACTAATGATATAAAATAATTCCATAAAAGCATGTGATTTACAGTTAAAATTGATCTTTTATATGAAAAAGTCAGCTAGTTTTCGTTTTGTGAGATTTTTCACTAAAACTGAGTGTTCAAAAAACACTGTTATCAAAAGTTAGTTAGGTTTTGCATAATTAAATTTTAAATTACATAGAAAATGTGTTCTTTTATTGTTACCTTTATGTTTTACGACAGTACACACACAAAAAAGAACAGGTTGTTTCCCCACTCCTTTGAACAATGAGATACTCACCTCCAGCACAGGAACTCTGCTCTATATATGTGCCCTGGTGCCCAACATACTACTTGACACAAAATAAACTTCAAGGACATTTGGTGAACTAAATATTGACAAGAGAGACTTTGGAGAAAGAAACATAAGACTAAGTTGTAGAAATATCTTTCTAGCTGTGTAGATTTGACAGTGTCAGGAGGATCCAGGAGCAGCTGAATAAATGGGTCTATCACATCAGGTCCAAAAGAAGAAAAAACGCGAAAGAGACACTAAATTTTTATTCAAAAAGGAAAAAAAGGAAGGAAAGAAGAAAACAAGAAAAGATACTGTTATCCATTATTAATACATCTTTTAAAAAGGAGATGAAATTCATCTTCCAAAGCACCTAGTCAAAAAAGAAAAAAGGTCCCTAAGCTCTTTTGGAGCTTCTAAAATAGTGTTTGCTGTCAAAATGAATCACATTATGCATCTGTCTCATTTTAAATAACAAGCTTTCAAGAATTTCCACAGATAACACGATGAATTATACTAAGAGCCCTCCAAGGCCTAGCATATATAGATGAAGAAACAGTTGTAAAATAATATGAATACATCTTAACATGAAGTCTTTCTTTCTATGAGGACCTAACACCACTGAATAACTAGTAATCTGGAAGCAGCTTATGTTCCTAAAGTCACATCCTACTAATCGTTCCTGTAATTTTTCATAAATTCATTGACTCTTATTTACCCTTTTTAATGAAAGAAATTACTAGCACAGGCATCCAAAACAAAATGCAATTCAAAATTATTTGTAATTTGTCTTTAGAATACATCATATTTAAAATAAAGTATTTCTTTTTAAACTATGTTTTATGTATCAAGCATTTAAAAAATGCTGAGAGCTTTATTAGTACCTAAAAGTAAGTAGTCAATATTTATAAAATTATGGTCATCTAATCAACCACAGAGCTTTAGAAGCAAGCATATGAGGTGCTCCCCTTCCCCATTTCCATTGTAATCATCATTCCATAAATGCACTGGCGTTGAGTCAGATAATTCTAAGTTAAAATACCAGCGCTGCTATACAATTAATAAATATCCTTAGAAAAATTAAATTATTTTAGTATCAGTTTTCTTCTCTGTGAAATGGCTCCAAGGGCACCTAGCTCACAGGGATGATATAGAGAATAAATGATATGTACGTGAAGTGCCTAGCTCAGTGCTTGGCCCATTGCACGCATTCATTCTCTTTTTCTGCTTTTCTCCTCTCTTCTTTTTTGCCTATTTACTGAAACCAAGACCACAGGTAAGTGTTGTTAACTTGTAGTCTCTCTTGGAGATGAAGAATAAAATAAATTCAGTGGAAATAAGACTGATTCAAAACTCACAACAGAAGTAGATTCTATAGTCCCTTCCAGAGCAGGGTAATTCAATTAAAGCTAATGAGAACATTTCACTAATCAGCACCCTTTATTTATTCAACATATTAGTGAACATGAATTTTCCTGAAGAGTCATTTTCCTCTCTGTATCACTAAATTTTTATTTTAGTAAAAATATCAATTATTTTATTTCATATCTGAAAATCATCACCTCCATTTCAAAGAAATGCCAGTGCTACTAAATGCTCTTTTGTATAGATAATCTAGAGTAATTAAAACTAAATATTTATATACTTTGTTTTAAATACCTCAAATACATAAAAGAATATCAAAATTACTTGTCTTCCACAGAAGGATGGCCATAGAGTACTTTTAAATATCAAGCTCCCAGTGCATTGGTTTTCAATAATTTTTAAATGTAAACAGAATGTATGCTAATTATTTAGAAAATAGAAAATGGGGAAAAAGCATGTATGTTAACTATGGTTTCTTTTAGCCTCCTTTTTATTTTATGCACAGATTTAAAACATAATTAGGATATTAATTATAGTGTAGAATAATTCTATAGCTCATTTTAATATATCCTTTCACAAACTATTATTTATTTAATGACTGCATGAGTTCATTCAATGAACAAACTATGTTGACCCTGTTGTTGGATATTTAACTTTTTTCCAAAGTTCGGGATTATATACAATATAACACTTTGATTCACATTTTATTCATTAAGGTCATTCAATGGATGAATTAATTTGGTTGACCTTCCTGGTAAGCATTTAACTAGTTTTTAAAGCTTTAAGATTATAAGTGTTAGTTATGTTTTTACCCATAAAACTTTTTCCATGTATGGGATTATTTCATTAGACTAAAGTACCAAGTATGAAACTACTGAGTGAAGAACTATATACTGAAAGGACGAAGCCAAAATGGAGTTACTCTGGTCATCTTGAGTAAGCTGGTTATGTACTCAGGCCATTGCTAAGTGCATGGTATCAATCATTAACTAAAAGAAAAATCAGTTTTCCAGCCACTCCCACCACCAGGGAAGTTTCATTAACATCTTTGTTCCAACAATGTGTTTTCCAGTTAACAGTGCAGTCTTTGTCTATGTGATCTGGCCACCATAAATCTAGTCTCCAGAGACATGAGAAATGGACCATCACCATGGTGCCAGGTCTCTTATAATCTTGCCCAAGAATGTTTGCTGCCCTCCTGAAAGCAAAAACAAAAACAAAAACCTTATAAACCCTTAGCCCTAAGCATTTACAATAGATGCTTCCTTTAAGTGTCTGGCTCCTTTCCTCCCTTGGGAAGTGAATAAACTCTTTGCTTTCTTACTCTCTCTGCAAATTTTTGCTTACCTGAAGCACCGACTTAGCATTCTGACCTAACATATACATTTTTGAGGTTTTTGATACGTATTTGGCATTCTGGTTTTCAGAAGGAAATGCCAATTTATACCATCACCATTAATATATTAGAACAACTGTTTCAATGTACTTTTTTCAGAACTGAATATTATCATTTTGTTTTATTTTTGTTGATTTCACTGATGAAAATTGTATTTTATTTTATCACATTTCTTTTATTATCGGTGCATTTTTCCAATGTGAGTTAACTAATCTATTTCTTATTTGGTATACTTTCTGTTCAGCCCATTCTTTCTTGAAGGCTCATTGTCCTGTTAAAGGGGGGAAACTCTTGAAGTGGAACTGAAGGATTAAAAAAAAATCATTCTGTTATCAAATTGATCACTTTTAGTCTTGGCCAAAAAAAAAAAAAAAAAAAAGCCAAAACATTAAATACTCACATTGGAAATCTCCCTGTCTCCCGATCTCTTCTTCATTTCCATTGTTAATTCATACATCTTCCTGTGAACCCAATCAGCTCCCTCTTGCCCAATCCTTCATAACACCTACTGTTCTTCTACTCTTTTCATACTCCTAGGCTTAGACAATGTTTGAAAAACACATTATAACCAAACTTACTGGCTCCCCTATGAGCTTATCAATTCTAACTACAGCTGGGCCCTGTTTAGCTTCCCTTCCATTCATGATCTTAGCCTATTCTCAACAAGTGAATCCTTTTAATTCTTCTCAAGGTTCTAATGTCCCAAATTTTCTCTCACTACTCTCAGATAACTTTTTCTCCCACCACACACTGAAGATAAGATACTTTCATATGTGAACTTCTCTAATCTTCCTACACACTAAAATTTTTATTTTTATCCTTCTTGCCTCATTCTCTCACTATCAGAACACTGCATGCTCTCTCCTTCCCAAAACTAACTTCTTTCCTGAATCACTCATTTTTCTATTTCCTTGAGGACCTTTGCTTTTCCTAATCACGAGGGTTAAACAGGTCCCAGAGATAGCTTTAATCCCTTTCAGTTTTTAATAGGCACAAGCATCTCATTAATTGCTAAGTCCTATAAGTGTGATTTTTTTTTGTGCCTCCCAAATTCACCTTTCCCTTTCTAAGATTGCTGTCCCACTTTAGGCCCTCTCAATCATTTTCTGTACTCTTAATGCATCCTCCTGTGAGTCTGCCTATCTCTTATATCTCATTTCTCCAATATTTCACAATCCATACTGCTGCCAAATTTATTTTCTTAAGACAGATTAAATCACATCTTAAAATACAGGTATAATCACATCATTGTCTTTCTCTGTTCTCCATCATGACTTTTGGATGCCTAGAGGATAAAGTTGAAACTACCTATCACAGCAATCATAATCTGACCCAAATACATAGCCAATCTTACCTCCTAATACAGCTTCCTCTATTTAATATGCTCTATTCTGGAGACATCCTGTACTATACTCTACTCCCTTAACACACCATCATGTGCAGCTATACCCCAATGCAGTGGTTTCTGTTATTGCTTTTGTGAAAAATGCCTTAGTGTCACTTCAATATTTTGGAATCCCCTACAGCACCAATGCCATTTCCTCCATGAAACCTTTCACAACCTCTTGAGTAGGAATTAGATCATTTCCTCTGGACTATTACAGCATTTTATTCACACGATCTTATAAAATTTTTCACAAAATGTTTTGATTATAGTTATTGGCAGACTACACACACACACACACACACACATATTCCACACTAGGTGTAAACACTTTGAATCTAGAAACTATGCTACAGTCTCTGTATTTGTCCCACCATTAATAACCAGTCAGTGCTTGACACTCAAAACATACTTGTTGAATGAACAAATAAATAAATGAATCCTAATTTTAACTGAAAACACATTATCCCTTCTTTCATATTTCTTCTAATCTGCACTGAGCTCTATGACTTAAATTGGGTCTTACTAACTTATTTAAATAACAGTGCCTTATCTAACTTTTCTTATGACTCAAATTATATAAAGCCTACAATACAACATTTTATCCATGTGAAAAGAAAGTTTGGCAAAGAAACAGAATTTCACAGCGATGTAAACAAAATGCTAGTAAACTGTGTCTGCTGAAAACACAGACAACACAGACCCTCAAAACTGGAGAAGGAACTGGAGTTCAAATAATCTGTTTAACATAAGTTCAGTTGCTAAGAGCAAAGAATAAAGTGATAGAGCAGAGGACATACATTTTCATTAAGCCAGTTTGTCTGGAGAAGACCTACTGTAAAAGATAAAGGCCTTTAAAAAAAGCTCAGCAGCAAAAAGATAATCTATAAAGCAAAATGAAAAGGGTATCATACCTTTGAACCAGGTGGCGCGGTCAAACCTAAAAAGGCATATACTGCATTATTTTCTCTGGCTTCAAAGAAGGCATCATAGTCCTTGGAGAAAAGAAGACAAGAAGAATTAGCAATGTCCAGCCAACAAAGGAAAAAAAAAGATTTATTCAGAATGACCTTACAGGATCAACTAGCTCCCTGAGGAAAGACAGGCTAATTTACAGAGTGCTAAAATTCTGGAAGGCATAGTAAACAGCCAAGGCTTCTGTATTCCATTTAAATGAGTTAACAGTATGCTGTTCTGTGGGACAGAAACTTCAAAATGCTTTATTCCACATCACACAGAATTCAAATTTGCCTGCAGCTTCCTCCACTTCCCAAAATGGTCTTTTATTTCTCAGATGCATATATCTGATGGGAAACTGTTGTTCCAGTTACCCATCTTTCTCTTCCACAATTCATTTAGGTAGAGATTTCCTCAGAGCCTATAGCAGACAAGATATTAGCTACACATGACCAAGGTCAGAAGAACAGTGAATCTGTAGAATGCTTTGAGGAAATGAATGAGATGTACATGAAATATGACCAGAAGAGCAACCAAAACACTAAGAGGTTTCAACCTTGACAAGAGAAGCACCAGATGACTGAATTTGATTGCGTTTCCTACTGTCATCCTTTAATTCTCCAAGTCTTCTCAAAAGTAACAAATAGACTTGCCTAAATTTGATGGTGACTTATACTCAATAGCAAACATTCTTAGAAAACATAGCCATGGTCTACATGTGACCTTAATTTATTTGATTTTTAAACACATAAAGATAAGCTTGGCACTTTGGCTGATTTACTAGAGTTGAAAAGCATTTACTATTTGCTGTCCTCTTTAAAGACTGCCTCGTCAGTAGATTATCAATTGCAAGGTTCTTTTCAAGCACCACCGTTTCTTTTCCAGGAACTTGGAAGATCTGGAGATAAAAATTTTCGAGCTTCTCAAACAAATGATGACGCTAAAAGTTTGAACCTTACCCCAAGACATATTGCAAGTCATTTTTCTCTTATTTAGAGTTTCCTTTAACACAACTGGAATTGTTTGGAGCCACTGCAATCTCCACAAGGATTGATTCACGGTTTCTTTTTGTGTACTCTAGATGTTGACAAAAGAATGAATCCTAAACAACAAGCATATATGAGCAGCCTCCTGTACTCTTTGAGTTCACTATCCCAAAGTGGAAAACTAGACCAGAAGCTGTGGCTCACACCTGCAATCCTAGTGCTTTGGGAGGTCTAAGTTGGAGGATTTCTTGAGGCCAGAAGTTGGAGACCAGCCTGGCAACATAACGAGGCCTCATATCTACAAACAATATTTTAAAATTATCCTGGTATGGTAGTGTATACCTGTAGTCCTAGCAGCTCGGGTGGCTGAGGTGGGAGGCTCGCTTAAGCACAGGAGTTTGGGATTACAGTGAACCATGATTGTCTTCTGCTTGTCAGACTGAGCAACAAAGTGAGACCTTATCTTTTAATAAAAGAAAGTGGAACTAACTAGATTCTAACACTAATTTCATATTGAGAAACATGGCTGATAAGCTATTCAAGGTAAACAAACAATATATATCATGTCCTTACTCGACCACTTGGAAGTAACCTAAAAACTAATTAAAAGAATCCAGGAAACAAATTTCTTATTCTTTTTTTTTGAGTTGGAGTCTCACTCTGTCACCCAGACTAGAGTGCAGTGGCCGTTCCCGGCCACCACAGCCTCGACCTGCTGGGCTCCGGCGATCCTTCCACCTCTGCCTTCCAAGTAGCTGGAACTACAGGTGCACACTACCACACCCAGCTAATTTTTTTATTTATTGTAGAGATGAGGTCTTGCCCAGGCGGGTCTCAAACCCTCAGGCTCAGGCAATTGACTCACGTCAGCCTCCCAAAGCTCAGGATTACAGGCTGAGCCACTGAGCCCGGCTCAGGAGACATATTTCTTACAATCATCAAAGCAACAAAACAACTCATGTCAGTATTTAGAGCCATGGGAAAGAAAGCAAGTCTTCAACTAGATTGAAATCTGATTATATAATGCAATGCAGGGGACTCTACTTGCCTCTGTTACATGTATATTGGTGTCAGAGTATATTATCATTGGTTGGTCCCAAACTTAGCATAGACACTCACAGGTTTGTGAATATAAGAGAACATTAGTTTCTTAATTAAGTCAGATTAATTAATTTCATCCAGAAATATTTCTTGAGCATCTACTACATGCCAAGCACTGTTCTTGGTATTAGGAATACAAGAATAAACAATACAGACTGTGGCATAGCCTGCTTCTTCTATAAGAAGTCTCGTGAGAGAAAAAAAGTAACAATATTTTACATCTATGGGATTTCAATAACATTGCTTCATAATGTATTAAACCATATATTGGTATCATATTAATTATCATGTAACAGAAATGTGTTTTAGTTCTTCATATACATAATTTAAGTTCTTTCAAAACAAAGATTATGCTTATTGATTTTTTGTCTTCTATAGCAGAGCCTCACACATGTGGATAGGGTAGTAGGTTCATCGTGCTTCAGTCAGGAAATAAGAATCTCAGCCATAATTCAGTGTTTGTCAACATAATGAAATGTTCCCCTCAGAAAACACCTGGAGAAATTTTTGGTTGTTCACAAGTGGATGTGCTACTGGCAACTTGTGAATAGAAGCAATAGATGCTACCAAAAATTTTAAAATACACATGGCAAGCCCCCACAACAAAAAAGTGTCCACCTAGGATGTCAGTAGTGTTAAGGTTGTGAAACTGTGAGGTAGTTTAATTAAGGGAATTTAATATGGAGACCTAATTACAAAGGATTAAAGAGCTGAAAGGTATACAGGAGATGGAGAGACAACCCAGAGGTTAGCAACAGCAGAAAACTGCTACCACACAGCTCCAAAGGAAAAAGTGAAGAAGGTGGTATTATAGAACCTAAAGCTGAGACACCTGGCAAAGTTACCACAAAAGTGATGCAACCACTGTAATGGACACCTTCAGAAACAGGGAGGATGAGGTATCATGACTTTTCACCTCCTCCTGTCCCCTAATCTTTCAAGCAGTGCTTACTGTTATTTCCCAAACATAACAGGGAACCAGTTAGCAATATGGACTGGAAAATGTAATTTGCAGGTAACCCCCAAATAATATAGAGTAGAGCAAAAAAAGAAGAGATTCTTGACTAAATAAAAAATGAACAATACAATGGTGTAATAGAACTTCAGGGTAAGACAAATCTAGGTTTAAATCTTAGTTGCATCACTACTTACTAGTTATGTGACTTACAAAGTCAGTAAACCTCTTCTAGGCTTCAAATTATTTATCTATAAAATAATAATAACAATACTTACTTCACTAAATTAGTATAAAAATGGATTGTTATAATACACATAAAGCATATAGCACAAATTCTGCTATAATCTCTCTATTGATGATTGCTCTTCACCTTTTGTAAAATAGCAAGCCATATATATGTTAAACTCCTAACTCAGCACAATGCAGGCCCTCTGTAAGTTGGATTCTTCATTAACAAATATGTATTTGATTGAGTCTCATCTCCTGCCCCTTCATATCCATTTTCCCATTTCCCAGTGAAACTTGCCTTATTTCTATAACACACTCCACTACCCTGCAGTGCAGCCTGCAAATAATCAAGAAACCATGTAAATGTGGTTTCTCAAATATACCCTTATAATCTCAAATGTGTTTGCTTTCAAAACCCAAACAATTGAAAATTCTGCTTCAAAGAGAAGAGACTAAGACCACGTATGCTGGCTTAGAGTAGAATGAATGACCCCTGATACCTCTTTCAGTCACTAAGATTCAATGATTCACAGAAATTTCAAATATGCAGGCACTGATGCTTCGTTATTAAAAAGAATAGGTTAAATGCCTCCTCCTTATCTACAAAGTATATCTTTGTATATTGGCTCTATTTGCAGCAACAAATGAAGTCTACAGGTCCCTCCACAGAGAGGACAAATTAATTCATAGAGAAAATATTTTATACCAATGCATTTTCTCATTTTTTATCACACTTTTCTCCTAGATGCTCTGAATTAGCACATAAAAGGTTTTTGCCAAAAACACATTCCTCTCACTTCCATATAAACCTATGAGGTAGGGGGAGAAAAAAGATGGCAGTGGAGCCAGTCAGACTGTGTGAGTCCCTGTGTGACTGAGTGAGTACATGGACAAATTTTCATGTGTGTCTGTTTGTAAGTGTGCATGTAAGAGGCTGACTGAGTGCAAACTCCAGAGCAAGTGGCCAGAGATCTCCCAGTGAAGAGGCTGATGCCAGCAGCTGCTCTGCTTGTACCTTAGTGCCACCTGGCACACTGAAGCCAAGTGCCATTTTCTAAAACCAACAAACTTTTTCCAGAAGAGAAACTGCTAGGAGTGACAGCCATTGCCATACTACCTGGCCACTACAGCACCAAGCTGGACACTGGCAGTGAGGGTTGTGGAGGGAATGCAGTGAGGGAACGAAAGGCAGAGTCCCATTGGAGAAGATGAAACAGGCACCCTGCCACCATCTAGAAAACTAGGCAGGGAAGTACTCCGGCTTGCTCATCACAGAGCAATAAACCTGCTTTCTGTGACTGGCAGGTTAACTACTCAGGGAGGGAATATCCCAAAAGCACAAACTTCAAGAGATAGAATGAGTGTGGAGAGACAGAATGAGTGTGGAATCTCAGGTGCCCCACTCCCTACCCTGATCCAGCCATAAGACAGAGTGTGACCAGAAAAGGACAAGGAAGACCTCCCCAAGAAATCAGTAGTGAGTCCTTGGCTGGCCCAAACCCCTCCTCCCCAGCAATCCTCTGAGCATCAGACTCAAACTGCTGGGGTACAACAGAGAAGGAAGAACTCAGGTGGAGCCTGGATGGCAGCCACACTAGGAGAGCTCTACTCTGGGATAAACCTGACTGGAGTGCCTACCACCAGCAACTGGAGAGGAGATGATCCCACACCTCCCCACTGGAGGGAATCCCCTTGACCTTACGAGAGTGGGAAGGGAGAACTGTTGCCACATCCACCTCCACTGCTCCCTCTTCCCCTCCAGGAC